GAAACCCCAACTTTAAAAAAAAAAAAAAAAAAATTAGCCATGGTGGCACATGCCTGTAGTCTCAGCTACTTGGGAGGCTTAGGTGGGAAGAATGCTTGAGCTTAGGAGACAGAGGCAACAATGAGCAGAGATCATGCCACTGCACGCCATCCTGGGCGACAGAGTGAGACCCTGTCTCCAAAAATAAAAAGAGAGAGACAGCCATGATGCCCCTGATATTCCGAGAAGTTCATGTTGTGTTCAAAGTCAGAGGCAGTGACAGCAAGGCTGCCTGGCTTTGAATTCCTTTCTACTGCACTGGTGGCTGTCGCTGGGCCTCCTCCTCACTTCCCAAGCTTTTCCAGGTCCCTGGGCTCCTATGGATCAATGTAAGCTCTCCAGCGAGGGGAGTGTGGGGTGAAGGAGGGGCAGGGACCCACCCTTGTTGTGGACGGCCTGCCTCCAAAGCAGGCGGGAGATGTCAGCTGTCCAGGCCTGCTTGATGGCCAGGCTGGAGGCCTGAAGCACAAAGGTGTCCCTGGCCTTGCGGCGGCGGAACCAGATCTCGAAGCGCAGGTTGCTGTCCCCACAGCACTCAGTGAGACCAAGGTCTGCCATCTGTGGCCAATGGGGAGAGAGGGGCTTGGTAAGGCATGGGTCGGGAACATAAGTGGCAGGGCCGGGGTGGGCAGGCCTACCTTGAAGGAGCGCTTATAGGCAAATGTGTCAACCCCTGTGGGCCCATGGCGAGGCTTGCTGAAGAGCAGCAGCTCCTCAAAAAGGAAGATGCGGCGCACGGACTTGTGGCGCCCAGTGCGCACCACAAACTCATCCTGTCGCACCAGCTGCCCCTGTTCCTTGAGGTTAACCTGCAGAGTTGGGGGCCAGTGGGTGGCCGACCTCTTCTGCCTTCTTCTTCCACACCCACCGCCCTTGCCCATCACAGCTTGGGATGACTCACATCACAGCCCTGGATGGCATCCATGGCCAGCAGGTCGTTTCCGTGCCGCAGCTGGAAGTGCACAAGGCTTTGGGCCTCCCTCAGCGCACTGAGCTCTTGCGTGGGGCCCCCGCAGGCCCGTGCCAGCTCCTGCAGCAGCAGCGCATACTTGCCCATGCGCTGGATGGGCTTTAGCAGGTAGGAAGCCAGGTCCAGGTGGTCCCCCAGAGCTTGCTGCTTGTCCTGTGGGCGAGTGGGAGACCACTGAGTGATTTGGGGGCACTCCCCGCATTCCCTACTCTTCCTAGTCTCAGGTTCACATACCTTGAAGAAGGTGTGCCCATAGCTGGACATCAGGGCATCAGAGCGAGGCTTATTCTTGCTGTAGAGCGCGTACATCCCAAACTGCACCCTCTACAAAGACATGTGGCTTAGCCCCAGTGCAAAGGGGCCAGCTCCCTAAGGCTGGCACAGGATAGACCACCCTCAGCTTGAGAGGACCAAGATGCCAGTATATGGCTCCCAGGAAGGCCTCTCCCTACAGACCCAATCTGCCCTGCTTTGAACAAGGGGTGATCTGGCTAGACCAGTACTGGGCAGAGGGGGGTGTGCCCACAGGTCCCTGAGGAAGAAGCCCCTTGCCCTCGGACTGAGCCCCTGCCTTCAGCTCTGCTCCTCCCATGGCTCTAAGAGCTCACCTCACTTGGGACTGTCCTGCTCACTACACTCAGCCACCCCTTTGGCAGGCCCAATTCCTCCATATGACCTTGCACTCTGGGTGGGACACTCACTCCAGCCCCTCCCCTATTCCTCAGATTAAATATCAGCCCCTCAAAGGCTTCCTCTTGTACCAGGTGTCCTGGCACCGCACTCAGGCCCTCTAAAGTGGAACCCCTGCCCCGCCAGTAATTCACAAGCATCTATTCTGCTTATTTTCCTCCTAGCCCCAACTATAATCTACAAGTATCGTTCTTGCTTCTATGTCTCCTCCACTGAACTAAGAGCACCCTCAGGTGCAGAAGCTTGCCAGTCTTGCTCATAGCTATACCCAGCACAGGGACTGGCACCAAGTATGTGCCCAGCAGCAACTTGGGGACTGTGGCAGAATGAGCTGATACCATGTGGCCTGTTGGGCTTACATGGCGCAGGAAGGCATAGGCCACTCGTGGTGGGTGCCGGGTGCAAGCCTCCAGCTCACGCAGGAAGAAGTGGCAGTGGAAGTCCCGCAGCTTCTCCAGGTTGCCAAAGAGGTGGGCACGCTGGCCACGGAGGCCCTGGGGCACATCAGGGCGATCCAGCTCGGGGAAATAGTTCTCCATAGTGTACTCTAGAGCCCGGACATACTCCCGCTCTGTGGCCACCATCTCTGCCAGCACCAGCTGTAGCCTACCAGGTATGGGGAGTCAGGACCCAAGACATTTCTCCTCTACTGCCCTCCCCACCCTGCCTACTACCCATACCTGTTGGGGCTCCTGGGGTCAGAGCTGCCCGGTGGAAGCACAGTAGGGGATGCCTGGGGCGGGGCACCTCCTCCAGCCTCTGGTCTGCAGCAGGCAGCAATAGTGGCCGCGTGGTGGCGGTGGCGGGCAGGTTCACTGAGACTCTGCCCCAGATTCCGATCGAAGCTGTAGGCCTTCCTCAGGGGAGGATGGGCAGGTGTAGTGGGGACCTGGCTGACACACAGGCTAGCTGTGCTGCCCACTGGTAGTAGCTTCAGTGAAGCCTCAAGCTTTTGGTCCAGGGCTAGCCAGGTGTCCTGGCATCGTGCCCAGGCCCAGCGGCACTCCTGGCGGATGGCCTCTGAGCCCAGCCCCGTGGCCAGAGCCCACATCTTTCGGAAGTGGGCAGGAGGCAAGTCAGGGTGCCTGGTCCAGTGCAGCTGCAGCTGCTGCAACACAACCCCTGGGCGTTCCTGCTCCAGCTCTGCCAACACTCGCTGCCCCTCCTCAGCCCACATCGAGGCCTGCAACACCAGGGCCGGACAAGCATTAGAGGAGAATCCCGCCAAGCCCACTGGACACTCTGCTCCTCTACCCACTCCCCATCCCCACAGGATGCTGCCCAGGACACAGCCCCAGTGACTGGGTTTTAGGGTCAAACTGAAGACCAGGGAAGAGAACAGGCAGCATGACCAAGAAGAGCTCACGCTCTGCTGAAGCTGGGGCTGCCACCCCTCCGGCCTCATGGATCACTTGTTGCTGGGGAGACTCTCACCCACCTCCCTGAAGAGCTGAAACAGCCTCTCAGCATCCGCCAGCCGCTGGCACCGCTGGGCCAAAGCCCTAGAGAATTCAGTCAGTTGGGCTCGCAGGGCCAGAAAGCGTGCCCCAGGGGGGCCCAGTTCAGCCGCCTCCCAGCCAGTCAGTGGCTGCAGAAACTTCTCCCCTTGCCTGACCTGCTCCTGCAGAGACAGAGACTAGGCTCAGCCAGTCCGGGCTTGGTGGTTCAGCCCCCAGACCCAGATCCTTCCTGCTGACGTATCCACACGTCCCCATCAAGTCTGTCCTGTGGTGGAACACCTACCCCTTATCTCCCACTCGCCACCCACATCCACTCTCCTTCTCCACAGCCAAATTCCCTACAGGAATCGTCTATCCTCACCATCCCATCTCGCCCTCCACGCCAGCCCTCTCTAGCTCCACTCTGCCCCATCCGCAGCGCTTCTCAGGCCTCACTGACTCCACCTCTCAGTGCCATTCAGCCCACTCTCTGCTGGGCTCCCCCCACTCCTTCCCATGCTCCTGATTCTCCTCACTCTTCTCCGGTGGCTCGTCCTCCTCCCCTTCCCTCACCCAGGCCATTAAACACTGGGGATCCTGAGGACAGTGCACTCAATCTCCCAGGCACTCTCATGTAACTGACTTCAAACGTCATCCAAACACCTGGACCCACCAAGTGATCCTCTCCAGCCAGACCGCTCCTCTGAGCTCCAGGCCCGAGACCCAAGGGCCCTCCTCTCATCCCTCACAGCCATCTCAAAAGCATGCCCAAGACTGGACTCTCGAATGCCCTTTCCCCCAGATGACCTCGTCTCCTAGTCTGTCAGGGAACAGCGCCCATTCATCCTTACAACATCCCTGTCCCTTACCCTCCCACACGGGTCCACAGCAAATCCCATCAACTTCTCCAGCCCGTCTCCCCTGCCACTATCCTGTCCAGAGAAGGCATTATTTCCCACCTGGACTACTGCAATTGCCTCTTCCCTGCACTCCCCATGCCCATCCTCCAAGTCACTGTCTACTTGGAAACTAATGTAATCTTCCTAGAATATAGATCTGATTATGTGGCCTTCCTGATTAAACTTTATACTGACTGCTACAGGGCCCAGTGATGTGGCCACTGACCAGGCTTGTCCCACCACAACTGCCCCCACTCTTTCTCCCTCTCTGCTCTGCACTTCAACCTCACTGGCCTTATGTTTCCTCAAGCACACCACCCTCCTTCCTGCCACAGGATCTTTGTGCATGCTGTCTTCTAAGCCTGGAATGTGCCCCCACCCTCAACCCTCTTCTGCCTGGTTGACCTCAACTTATCTTTCAACTCTCGGCTCAAAAGTCACCCAAAAAAAGCTTGCCTGACACTCCTGCTGGGTAAAGTCTTGGTTATACCCTCAGGCAGAATCCCCTGCACTGATTCGCTCCAGAGATCCTGCCTGGGTTTACAGGCACATATATGACTGTGATTAATTATAACTGATATTCTCTATGGGACTATAAGGTCCAAGAGAGCAAGGGATTGAATTTCTTTCACAGTTCTGCATTCCTAGTTCCTGGCATTGCATCCCAATACCCATGGCATGAACAAGTGACCACACATACCTGGGCAACCTCGTACAGCTCCCGAAAAGAGCCTTGGGCCTGGAGCAGCATGTCCAGCGAGGGCTCCCCAGGCTCCTCCAGCGCTGGCCAGCCCACCTGCTGCAGCCACACTTCAATCTGGAGGGGCACAAGCAGGGCAAGGTGAAGAGAGCTGCCTTGGATTGGGGGCTCACGTTTGAGATCGGGGCAGGGCCCACTCTGGGCAAGTAGTTCCGACCTGGTGTAGTCCGCCCTCCTGGGCCTCCAGTGTTTGGACCAACTCTAGGGCCTGTATTCGCTGGTTGCTCTGTAGGGTCAGTTGGTGCAGCAATCCATCCACCCGGTCATATAGCTCGTCAGCCTTGTCCATTGCTGTCCTGGTGTATGGTATACCATCTTAGACCCCCTGCCTTGCACCACTCCACGCTGTCCTGGCACCCACAATCCTGCCAGGTTCTGAGCTAGCCAGATGAGTCCTGGCATAGAATATGGTGGGCTGGGGCAAAATCTGGGGGCCGGACTTGCACCCACCTGTAATCTGGACTCAGGGTCACCTCTGGGACCTCTTGCTTCAGCCATGTCAGCTCCCGGCCCCCCTGGCATTGTAGCCATGCCAGCCGTGGCGAGTCTAGCACCTGCTGCATCAGGACCTCTGTCTGCTGTAGCAGCTGACCGACCTCCTGTGATTGAGGGCAGTAAGCAGTGGAGGTGGCCGTGGGAGAAAAGGAGGGAGACAGGGAGCATTCATGGAGGGATTGGGAAGGGACACTCACCCCAGACTCCATGGGCTGGGGCACAGCCTTCACACTTTCGATGGCCCCCTGAAGCAGGGCACAAGACGCCTGGCAGTTCTGCAGTAGGGCTTCCAGCCGCTGTAAGCAGGGGCAGGCATGACTGGAGCAGCACGCAGTGTTGGTCCCGGGCTTCCTGGGTTCCAGGCCACTGCAGCCAGCTTTGTGCTGTTCAAGCCAGTCCAAGAGGCTCCTCCGCAATCCCAAGTTGCCTATATAACTGCCCCCACACCCCACCCAGTATACTGACCCTCCGGAAATCCAGCCAGGCCCGGTGGCAGTAAGGCAGGCCTCCTCCTAGTGAAGTGGGCAGTCCTGCCGTTGGGATGTGGGTCAGCAGGCTTTGAGAGGGCAACTGCTCCAGCTACAGGAGAGGAAGGTGTTGTGACCCAGGCCTAGGGAGGAGGCACCCCGCCTCTACCCCTAGCCTAACTGGGCTTAGTACCTGCAGCCCGGAAGGCACTTCCTTCAGCAGCGTGCTTCCCACTAGCAGCACCTGGTACACGGCCCCTGGGGCTGCTTCCTGCAAGGAACCTGAGCTCAGCCCTATCCCCAACTCTACAGAAAAGGGCACAATGGCTCATGCCTGTAATTGTAGCAATCTGGGAGGCAAGGCAGGAGGATCACCTGAGTTCAGGAGTTCAAGATCAGCCTGGCCAACATGGTGAAATCCCCCTCTACTAAAAATACAAAAATTAGCTGGGCATGGTGGCAGGTGCCTGTAATCCCAGCTATTCGGGAGGCTGAGGCAGGAGAATCACATGAACCCGTGAGATAGAGTTTGCAGTGAGCCAAGATCGCACCACTGCACTCCAGCCTGGGCAACAGAGTGAGACTCCGTCAGAAAAGGAAAAGGAAAAGGAAAGGAAAGGAAAGAAAAGAAAAGAGAAAAGAAAAGGAATGAGGGGAGCTACAATCCCGTACTCACTTGTAGTTGGCTGAGCCCAGAGAAGAGGGAAGAACTTGGGGAACAAATTCGGGCATCAACTAGCACTGTCAGTCCCAGTGCCTGTACTTCGGGCCTAAAGGGGTGAGCTTCAGTTCAGTACCTGACTCCCAGTCCTCACAGCTGGCTCAGGCTCAGTCTCCCAACCCCCACCCTCAAACCTGGGGATGCTTCGCAGGTACAGCAGGAGGCGGATGAGTTCCTGGCTGCTGCACTCAGGCTGAAGCCAGGCTGGGCTGTGGGCACACAGAAGCAGTACTGCCCGGCCTTGGACATCGCGAGTCCCTATGGGGAGGAAGCAGTGAACTCCTGCCCCATTGGGCCACTCCACCTCCACCGCCTCTAGGCCCTCCCGGCTACCTGGCAAGGTGGCCATACCACTGGCCAGCAGCTCCCAACAGAGGTCTTGGGCCAGGAGGCAGTCAGCAGGCTTAGGGAGGCTGGATCCACTGGGGGCTTGGGAAGGGAAATGACTTGGGTCTGCCTTGGGCCACCTATCCAGAGACCCCTCCTTGGATCCCGGCTTCAGCCTGAGTAGGGTCAGAGACCTCCAAGGTCTTGACACTCATTTCTCCAGGCATCCCTATTCCCTTCCCAGACTTCCCTAGCCCAGCCTTCCTTACCTGCCTCCAGCAGCTTTGATGATTTCTCTGATAAAGGGTCTCCAAGGCCCACAGGGTTGCTGTCCAATCCCCCAGGGCTCAAGTCAGATGGCATCACCCTGCTTGGACCTGGGTCCACTACCAACCCTACCCCTGGGGTGTCACCCTCACCCTGTGCCAAGTTGAGGTGGGAGGACATGGGGCATAGGAGGCTCTCCACTCCAGAGGGACCTGGCCCTTCCGACAGGACAGAGGAGCTTTCTACTTTGCCCCTCTGGGGATCCCCCGACTCATCTGCAGCCAGGAGTAACTGAAGCTTCCTAGACAAGGGGCTGCCCTGTAGCCCCTCATCCTGGGCGGCCCCGGTTGGTGGTCTTGGAGGACCCGGGTCCTTAACGTGCATCTGGGAAGCAGGTTCCTCCTCTTCCCAGGCATCCCTGAAACTGCACACAGCAAATCTCCAGTCGGTGGCATGGCCCTGGGAGTCTGGGGACTCATCCCCATCCTCCAGGGGCCTTTCCATCACGCCCTCCTAAAGGTGGGCCTGCTCCGGGCCAGTGGGAGAGGGCTGGGCCTCAGTGTGAACCAGGCTGAAGACAGTCGAGTGGGATTCAGTGGGCAATGCAGGCGAAAGGCATGGGCCGCAGAAGGTGCCAGTCTTAGTGCCAGGGCACAGGAACTGCAATTCAGGCCTGGGGAGAGGGAATAATGTTAGGGGCGTCCCTCTGTCCAGGTCCCCTGTCGGACGCCCGTGGGCCTCTGTTCCGTGCGCGCCCACCCTCAGCGTCCCCACGGCCACTCTCTGCAGGCCCATGCCCATGGGGGC